CTATGCGGAAAGGGTCAGGCAATTAAAAACAAGGGCCCAAATCTCTGAGCAAAACTGGGCAAGTGCCAGATTCACACGTGGACACTTGCGTGACAAAACACACAAACAGACACACAGCCGACGGTGGCCAAACAGAGTGATGTCAGAGGGAGCAGGAAGGCAGAAGGAAAGAAAGTGGGGTGAGGAGTGCGCGTGAGGAGCAGAGAACAGTGCGGAATCAGGTTTATTGTAGAAATTTGATTGCTTGGAGCCAGGGTGGGTTTGTCTCAGCTCAGTAGAAGGAGACATTTCTGAAACTGCTGAAGAAATAGGATTGTGGGGAGAATACCTCAAAAACCTAAGAAACTAAACATCTCACATGCCTTCCTGTGCAATCTCTGAGGCTCCAAGACCATAATTAGACGTATTAGGACCAGAGGAGAAACTTAGCATAAAAATGATAAAAGCTTATTCTTATGACCAAGAAGGAACACAGGCATTAAATAAGGGCTTGGTTAGAAAATGTCTCTTTTTCCTTCCCCACCCTCCACACTACCAAATTGTTCTCTTGATCGCTGGAGTCTCTCTCAAACACCTCTTCTCCATCTTTATTGCCTTGAACTTAACCCTCCCAGGTTTGCTTTCTCCCTTCTTTCTTTCCTGCCTCCCTCTTTTACTCTATGTACTTTTTTCTTATTTGTGTCGTACTGTAATTCGGGGCATTCGACTTGGCCTATAAACAACTTTGTCAATGCGGCAGCTTTGGCAGCTTCCTGGACCACCTTTCTCCTCCCACCGCCCACCTCTTTGAATTTCCCAGACAGTAGCAGGAGAAAGCTTCCCAGCCTCCAAAGCAGCGTCTGTGTTGTCAAGTCACATCTGGTCATTCCTGTACACAGTCGATATTTACGGAGCTGCCCCTTTGTGCAGGGTGTCGGGAAGCAACCTTGAATAAGTCATTCCAACCCCAGTATGGAGCTGACCCTGGAGGCTCAACACAGGCAATAAGAGTTTCAGGCCGTGAAAGGGCCAGGAGGGCATCAAGCAGGAAGGGGCTGGGGTAACAGCCAGGGTGACGCCTGTCTGCCGAAGAGACTTCCCCGCTAAGGAGGGGGCGGTGGGGACGGTCTTGGGAGAATCTGGGGAGAGAAAGTTCCAGCAGAGAAAGGGGGGTATAAAAGCCCCCAGGCAGGAGAGAGAAAACGACTTCTGACAGGGAGAGAAGAACACCTTGGCTGGGGACTGCCCAAGGGCGCCGGCTCCCCTTCAGAGAAGAGCTGGGTTCTCTCTCTGCCTGCATCACGGGAACAGGGCGGGCACAGCGGGCTGGGCTGGGCTGGGCTGGGCTGCTGGGGTTACAGAAGTGCCAGGGGAAGGTTAGTAGAAGTCTAAAGTTGGTCACACGTGTGAGTTATTTTTTATTTCATTTCATTTGTCTTTGGTAAAAAGGAAAAAACTTTTTGACTTTGGCCATTTCTATTATTTACAGTCCATGTTGTCTTTACTTGTCCCATCCGTCCTGGATCCCAGAGACTAAGTGCCTGGCCGGGCGGTGATGTGTTCTCCAAAGCCACACGTGCACCGTGTCTATGCGGTTCCGCAGAGACCCCTGTTCGGACCGGCTGGTTTACGAAATCAATCACAGGGGAAAAGGAATGCCATGGGGCACTAAGGCAAATTATAATGCTGTTGGCATAACTTAAAAAAAATTAGCAGGCTGGGGCGAGGAGTGAGAGACATAACCTTTGCCTGTTTCCTACAGGACCAGTGGGTGCCTCCGGTGCAGAGGACGGAAGCAAACGCACGGGGGCGCCACTATTTGTCGAGGTCACTGAAATGCAACGCCTCTCCTTAATGCACACAGACACTGCAACAGCGGAAGGTTTTCTTCCGTTGCACACTGACTTTGTGGAGATAGTTGTGTACGCTGAGTGCACCTAGCACTGCTCCAGAGAAGCCATCAATACCCCCTCCTTCCTCACTCACTCAGGCGGAGCGCTGATAAAACTCTGGCCCTGGCTTTCATCAACCACAGACATAAAAGCAGGGGAGATCTATGAGTGTTCCCACGCAGCAATTAGGCTGCTAATAGGGGCTGGCATTAATAGGCCCTGGGGCAGTCAGTGCTTGCTAGTTAGTCGAGCTGAAGTGTTATCTTTCCTTGGAACAGAGGTGGGTGGAATCTAAGGGCCCGCCCCCGGTACTCTGCCTCAGCCGTCAGCCTGGACATCCTGTACGGCAGCTCGCTGCTCAGGGGCGAAGGGGGCATCGCACCAAGAACACACCCCTGTAGGAAGGACCCTGAGGAGGGGAGAGGAAGGAGCAGGGACAGCAGGAAAGCCCAAGAGGCAGCAATACTGTTCTCAGAAATTCCTGCAAGGCCACGTTCAAACCCACCCTTCTGTTCACCTGGGCTCGGGTCTAACCAACCAGAAGGGCTGCGGGCTACCAGCTCCCAGGCTGCACCGGTGCGCACTGGGTGACCCTCAGGCCTCTGTGCACATACAGCGTAGCTCACAAGTTTTAAATGAAAAAAATTCTCACACGTTTGCCCCGTGCCACCAGAACTTCCTTTGTCCGATGTATTTCACCGCTGACCTCGCCGTTCTCGCGCTGTGCGTTAGAAGAATGGGGACGTCCTTTCATTTGACTCTCACTCAGGAATGCGGCTTTGCAGTCAGCCAAACCCGAGTTCGAATCTTGCCTGCATAATTTTCATTCTTGGCAAACTACATGACCTTTCGACAACTCAATTTTTAAAAATCTATAAAAAGGAAGACTGTTCCTCCGGCACAGGGAGGATGGACACGGATCGGCTGGGTAAAGCGCTCACTGTGGTGCTGGTTCATGCACGGCTTTGCGGGGGCAGCTCTGGGACCTAGACTCCTTCGCAATGCGAACACATGCTACCTGGGAATTTGGTAGTTTGATATATTGGGAAATGAGTTTTGGAAACAAAATGAGAGTCTAAACTAAAAGCAAAGAAGTGTGGACTTGCCAGAGTGCTGGCTTCACTAAAACACCGGAAGTGACCACAAGAAGAAAAACACAACTGAGACCCCAACTACAGGACATTCTTAGGTGCCTGTGAAAGAGGCCACCTGATAAAGTCTATTTCTGTTATCCTGATTTAAGGAGCTATTTACAGGTAACAGCAGTTCAGTTGTATTTGTTTAAGAATACTTCATCATTGAGAGTTTTCACGGAATCAGCCACCTCCCCTGCATAATCACTTTGAAAGGATAAAATTTTACTTCGCTTAGGAGACCAGTTGTAGTGAAACGTTACACATCTGTAAAGCACTTTCACATCCTTATCCCACTTAATCCACAAACCTGGGACCCACCCACAGGGCAGTGCTGATTGGAAACTCCAAGACCAGACCGGTGCTTCAGTTCAAAAAGAGAAAGACCAAGGAACGCCCCAACCCACAATTCGTCCCACCCCAGCGGCCACACCCGCGCCCAGGGCCAGCGCGCTGCTCCACCTCACCCCTCCCAGCTCGTCTCTGTGGAGAAGATGCCAAGGGATGGAAGGGCGGAGGTGAGTGTGGATCCACTTACAACGGGGAGCAGAGGCGCTCAGTGCTGGGGAGGGCGGGCTGGGGACCCTGGTTGCCTGCCCAGTTGGCCACAAAGACAAACTACATGTTCAAAGACAGTCAGATCCGAGGCTGGCCCCTGGCTCCTGTTACCCCTGTTTTTGGCTACACATCACAAAGTTTAACCAAAGATTACAGCGTGGACCTCAGCCAGGAACAGTGGAAGGGGGCCCTCCTTGGATCTGAAAAGAATTGTTAACATTTCTTCTAGAAAGAAGGGGCTTCATTCCTCAGCATCTGCTTGGGGAGTTTTAGCTTCTAAACTCTAAAGCAGAAGGGGAGTCTAACAATTCATAGTTACTGTGCTTGTAGGAGTGTGTGTGGGGTCTCGACATATGTCCACGTCCCCCAACAATTCCATGTGAAGGGGGAAGGAAGGAGCCCTGGCATCCAAGGTTAGGGTAGAGGTTACTCTCAGAAGAGTCAGAATTCCTAGCACTTGGAGCATCTCCACCCCTTATACGAGCGGCGACCTTGGGAGTCAGCTGTGTGGGTGTGTTGTGAGCAGCAGGGAGGAGTTTATTCAGATCTACTAACCACTCGGCCTGCCCAGGGCAGGGATCAGGTGGGCGCCTTTCCTTGGTGGAGAGGGCCCTGGGGTGACAGCGGGGCTCTGCAGAGAAACTTGGAGGAATTCATCGGCAAAGCTGAGATTACAGTCTTCAAACAGAAAAGTGCCAACATTTCAGTTCCGAGGTCTCCCCACTACACAGGGTTCTAGCTTTATGTAAACGTGCCCCCCCCCAACTTTTAAAAGACAAAGATTTCTAAGCAGGGGCTGGCATGGTGGTCTCAGTAGCTGAAGTGTGGTTCTTGAATCAGTCCTGTGAAAGCTTCTTACGTGCTAAGCTATAATAAGAATCTGACATTTCGAAAAATCCCCAGGAGCTCGGCGAGACACCCAGGCTCCCCCTAGCCACCCCCCTCCAGCGGCACTGTCAGAGGAAGGAACTCGGGCATCCGCCGGACCCCATTCCATGTCAGCCCACTAGGGACTCCTTGCATAGTCCCTGACCGTCATCCGGAGGGGCCGAGTTACCTACGTGTCCTTGATTTGTGTGCAAACACTAGCTCTGGAGAGTGTGGGAGCATTATTTTTAATCCTGTGATTTTTAAAATGAACCCGTTTTCTCAAAAGATAAAAAGTAGGGGGAGGGGGCTGTGGTATGCGCTCTGTTCCTGCGATTGTGAAAGACAACTGACCTCTCACGCTCCCCAGGGATGGTGCAAAAATAAATCTGCTGCTGATCTCGTGTCCCTGTCGAAAGCCTCGAACTTGCGAAGGGCTGGGAAAACTGTGGCAGAAAAGGCCCAGGGGAGCCCCCTTGGGCTGCCCTCCTGCCAGGCACCAGGGGGGTCCTCCTCAGGCGACCTCAGGCGCGCAGCCACATCTGTCCTTCCGAAGGGCCCCGGTACTCACGGGAGGTCCGGACGGTGTCGCTGGGCTGGCTGCGGGGGCTGGGGCCGTGGGGATTGATGGCCCTCACGGAGAACTGATAGTTGGTATGCGGATCGAGGCCCTTGATAACCATGGAGTCCATCTGGATGCGCTCTTGGATTAAGGCCCAACTCCTGTCGAAATCTGGTCTTTATCGATTAAAGAATGAAACAAAACAAAAGGCAGTTGTTCAGAAACAGCAGAGGACGGGGACGCGTGCAGGCTGTGTCAACGGGCGGCACGTGACCCCTGGAAGCAATACTTGAAAACATGAACGAACATTTCCTACCCCAAAGTCATCTTGATGTGAAATCACAGGTCATTGTTTCTAAGTCTCTGCCAATAAAAGCAAGTAGATCACTTTTCGAGCTGGTTTTTAAGAAATGTTTAAAGACCAGCCACTTTTCCTTGCGCGGCCTTGACTACAGCAGGAAGAGCCCCACATAGGAGTTCATTGTCAAAGGCTCTGTCTTCCAGATGTTTCATAAACAAGCCTTCCCCCGAGAGCCCCCGTTCCCGGAGGTCAGGAGAGCACAGATTCCCTCCACTCACAATCTGTTCACAAAATAAACAAATATAAGTTTAATGGGGTGACTAATTTGAATGAATCGTCATGGGAAAAGCCAAGAAGATTCTGTTCATGGCCATCCTTCCAACTTTGAACAAAACTGCACAACCGGACCAACTTGCTGTGTTTTCATGTGTCCCAAGGACCCCCCCAGAGGGTGCGGTCCTCCACCGAGAGCTCCCATCCGGGAGCAGCAGGGGGCGGGGGGCCGGGGTGCAACTCTGGCGCTGACAGAGCCGCTCATGCCCGCCTTTGCCACGTCCTGGCCCTGTTTACGAGGGAGGACCCCCCAAAACCCCCAAAATTACCTTCTGGAGTGCGGGGCCCCTGGTAGTACAGGCTTCCCCTGCTAAGTGACTCTTCTAGGAACCTATCTGTACCAGTGCACCAGCTGGCGTTGTTGTGAGAGGCTGCGTTCCGCTTCAGTGAATTTTTTTGGAGGCCTCTTTCAATGCATCTGCCCGTTTCATGATGGGGAATTTATGAGCCATCTGCCCACACAGCGCTGAGTGTTCAGCAGTTTTTGACCCAAAATGGCCAGACCCCTGTGCCCCACCGTCCCTATTCACCTGATCTCACCCCGAATGACTTTGTTTTTGTTTCTCCAGATGAAAAAGTCCTCAAAGGGAAACATTTTGCCAACGTGGAAGAAGTGAAACAAAAAACAGCAGAAGCACCAAAGGGCATTAAAATCAATGAGTTCAAAAACTGCTTTGAGCAGTGGGAAAAATGCCTCTATGGGTGTATTGCATCAAATGGAGAGACTTTGAAAGTGACTTAAGTTTAAACATGTAAGAACAAATACACATTTTTTATGAATAAATTTTGTTTTTGGGGGGGTCCCCATCATAACTCCTGTAGGTATCTATTTTTCTCATCTGCAAAACGAGAGCAACGAAAGCACTTATCTAAGGGGCTGTCAGGCAGGTGACTAGGCTCAGCGGAGCGTCAGCCCCCAGCGTGTGTCCACCGCCATCTGCGGGCGCGCCCCACGTGGCAGGGCCAGCGGGCGGCCGGGCCCCTGCTCCCTCTAGGCCTGGGTGCGTGTGGCCAGGCAGCACCCGAAAGCGGCTAGTCCGGACGGAGAGGGGCTGTGAGTGTAAAACATACGCCAGATTTTAAAGGGAAAAAAAGAAAACATAAACTAACTCTTTGATTACATAATGAAATGTACTCTGGGTACTAAGAGCTGCCAGCTGGGAATGACTGTGCGTGATAGCGGGCAGTGTGAGTGGTCTAGTGGGAGTGGAGGTTTTGCATTAACAACTAGTAACGGTCACCATTTATCCAGTTCTTATGAAGTACAGCCACCCCTCCCCCTGATCCAGGGAGGATATGTTCCAAGATCCCCCGTGGATGCCTGAAACGGCAGGTAGTACCCAATATATACCATGTGTTTTCCTATATGTACAGACTACATACATACATATGATAAAATTAACTTATCAATGAGAGATTAACGAGAATAACTAATAAGAAAATAGAACAATTATAACAGTATCCTGTAATAAAACTTGTATTACACTTGCAGTAAATGTGGTTTCTCTCCCTCTCTTTCTCTCTCTCTCCTTCTCTCAAATATCTTAAGCACTGTACTCACCTTCTGATGTAAAAGAAGCACTTGACGGCTTCTCTTTGGCATTTCCAAATTGCTAGCATCTTACACTTTGGGGCTGCCAGTAAGTAAAATAAAGGGAACTTAATCTCAGGCACTGAGCTATCAGGACAGTCAGTCTGCCCTTCCTACTCGCCTCTCTGATGACCAAGATGGTGACCGAGTGACCAACGGTGTGGAGACGCTGGACAAAGGGACGTATCACATCCCCCGCGGGAGGGACAGACTGGGACAACGTGAGATTTCACCACGCTACTCAGAACAATGGTACAATTTAAAATTTGTGAATTATTTATTTCTGAAATCTTCGATTTAATACGTTCACGTCTTGGTTGGCCGGGGACAACGGACACTGTGGAGAGGGAAGCCCTGAGCAAGGGGGAGCCCTGGGCCGAGCCTTGTGCTGGCACTTCAGCCCACTGACAGTCCCCAGACACCCTATGCGGCAGGTATTAATATTAAACACCCCTCTCCCCACCCCCGCTTTAGAGAGGGAACTAAGACATCAGACAGTAAGTCACTCGCCAAAGGTCACACAGCTGACATGGGGTGAGGCCAATTTGGGTTGATGGGGGAAGGTTAGATTAAGAAAAATCTTGATGTTGGATGAAAAACCAGGGGGACAGCAGTCGGGGGCTGTTCTCCACCCTTTCTCTTGCTGCCTGGCTGCTCAACCTTTGTTCTGTTGCTAACCACCTCTGCTCACAGGTATTTAGAAGGCAGAAAGCAAAAACGATCAATGTTCATCCTTGGAGAACAACTTGTTGGGCATGGAAACTGAGACTCATTTTGCTGCAAGGAATTGCTCGGGTGACACGCAGATCTCTAACCGGTGCTCGCCTAGCTTCTCTAGCCCGAACTGCTGAGCGCCAAAGGGGGTCCTCACGCCCAGGAAAAGACGCTTCCGCGGGGTCCCAGGCCGAGGAGCTTGCCGGAGAATCCCGCCTCTGGAGAAGCAGAGGCAGGGCATGCCCTGGAGGAAGCAGGGCTCCGTAGGGCTCCGTCCTCTTCTTGATATTCTTTCCCTAAAGATGGGCTTCTATGTAAACTAACTTCAGCCTCAGTAAGGGGAAGGAAACACATTTACAAACACAGATTAACAAAGCATTTCACTGAGGAAAGCCACAGGGAATAAATACCCTAACAGTAAAGCCAGAAAAGATGTCATCTTCCTTTCCTGTTAGTCTTTGCTAAGCTTCCCTGTGGCATTTATAGAGGAAATGACCTATGACTGTTCTCAGATGCAACTGTTTACCCAAATATCTGCAACAGCCTTCATGCAAACATTACAGCCCCCTTCCCCACCCAAAAGGGTGATTATTTTGTATCTGTTCATTTAATGCAAGAAAGAAAGCTCTCTTTTCAGCCAATAAGAGATTAAAATCGTTAACCTTTTATTTTGTTATCTGGAGTGAGAGGCAAACTCCTGCAGATTGAGCCCCACCCAGTTCAAAACCTTTAACACTCGGCCTTTCTCCTGGGATTTGCATTTAAATGCTTTTAGAGTCTCAACGTACAGAAGGGCAGAGGTGAGGCTGAGAAAGAGATAACTGGGCAGAAGCATTATCTGAGATCCTCCTCAAAACAATTCCTCCCTTGTTTTAACTAAAGGAAATTATTTTATTCACCTATAGAGCTGTCAGTCAAATCACCATAGCAACACTCGCCGGCCACATCCCCCAACAACGGAAAAGCCAGCGGGACAGCCGTGGACTACGAATTCCCTGCCAGGTAAACAGGGGCGGCCACCAGCAGCGGGCACTGTAGGCACCTTTCCGAATAGCGGGCGCAGGCTGGGTCAGGCGTGCTGTGCTTCTGGAGGTGAGAGGAGCCCCTCCGGAAGGTGGGCGGGCAGCGGGACTCAGAGGCAAGGAAGGTGGGATTTGGCAGCGGCCCCCAAATCCCAGTGAGCTGATTCAGGTGATCAAGATTCACTCAGCGGTTCCCTTGGGTGGGAAGACACACTCCCACTGGCAATGCAGCATGCAGCCTGGTCACCGGGCACCTTACAGACCACTTCATCTGAGGGCCTGGCGGCTCTCAGGAACAGCGTGTGAGATTCTGTGTGTGAACAGCATTTTATTATGCTAAGGAAGGAGCCCTTGCCTTTCACCAGATTCTCAAAAGCTCTAAGAGTCACTTGCTGGTCAAGTCTGTCATTCGGCCCAAGTGGACACTGAAGGTAATAATGCACCCAAAGCCCAAAGTCACAGAATCACTGGGCAGTATGTTTTTATGTTTTATTCCCCTTCTTTCTGTTGGCATTTTAAGCACCTCTCCCACCGCCAACCTCATCCTCCGTGGACAATCATTTTTCTGGATTCCATCAAACCAAGCAGGTAGCCGCCATGGGCTAGTCGACTGGCACGAGAGCGATGATTATCAGCTGGGCGTCCGTCACAGGAGCTGTACGCTGGGGGCCCCCAGGAGCTATAAACATACCTCTGTCCTCGGGCAGTTTACAATCTAATTAGGAGACAATATACCTAAGGATCGGTAGGAAGCCGGTGCAAAACAGCGTGTTTCAAGAGCTCCATTTGAATGGGTCCATGTGAACCGAAATCCTGGGGAAAGTCCACGAGGACCAGGGAGAACTTAAGTTAGATGTGGAATGTGTTTGAGTTGGGAAAACTGAAAGGAACAGAGCATCTTTGGGCAGAGAAGGCCACAGCAACATCACCTCTGTGTGCAATGTGCACATAGAAGATGCTCAACAGTACCTGTTTGGATGGACACAGGCACAGAGCAGGTGTCTAGTAAAGTGTGGCTGAGTTGAACTGAAAGATCCTTGGGATCTCGCCTTGGGAATAACGAGACGCTCTAAACCCAGGGCTGCCAGACTTCGGCCGGCTGCTGGTTTGGGTAAAGAAGGTTTCTCTGGAACACAGCCACGCTTGTTTGTTTATGCATCGTCTGCGGGTGCCTTCCTGCCACAAGGGCAGAGCTGAGTGGCTGAGACAGAGCCC